GGAAAATCGGGCAGCCGCAGCGGCCAATGAGCGTCCGTCACGGTCTGGAGCTGCCAAACACAGCGTGGTGGGTGAGGCCTGCCGCAGGGCGGGAGGGGCTGGAGTGCATCCCTGCCGGGGGAGGGACCGGGGGCCTGGAACAGACGGTGGACCGGGGACGGCGGGAAGGCGAGGAACCCTGGCCGCGTCCTGGCCGCCCACGGTGAGTGCGGGCCTCCGTTGGCAGGCGGGAGGGTGGAGGGCCCTTCTGTGCGTCCTGCCCCCGAGTCCGCTCCGAGGATTTCTCGTGTTCTTTAAGAAAGTTGCACCTCTGAGCAGCTCTCCTGAAATAACTGAATCCCACTCGCAAGTTGCAGCACCGAGCTGCTCAGTTCGGAGTATCCAGTCCCTGGGCGCCCACAGCGCAGCTAGCGGCCCCCCAACTTCAACGTGGTGTCCCGGTTCCCGAGCACTGATAGCACAGCGAGCAGCCCCCCAGCTTCAGCGGGGTGCCCTGGTCCCCGCGCACCGACAGCGCAGCAAGTAGTTCTCCTACTTCACCAGGGTGTCGGCGTCGCCTGAGGATAACGGTAAATGGGGCTGGGGCAGCTGGGGGCTGTCAGAAATGCGCAGGAGGAACTCCGGGCTCAGGGCCTGAGGACCTGGTGTACATCAGTTGCGTGAGGAATGCTAAGTGGAGGTGTTTTTATGGGGGATGGTTTTCTAGATTTTCTTACAAAGTCAAGAAAACCTGTTCACTGTAGAATGAAGGTAATTATTATTTTAGAAAAAGAAAATGTTAAAAAATCGACATCTCTTTCCTCTATAATTTACAGTCACCGTTGCTCAAAAGTAAAGGAGGTTTTAGCAAATCTGCTTTCAGTCAACAGGTGCCTTAGCGTCTTACTTATCCCTGCCTGGACCCAGTCCTTTCCCCTCTGTGGGACCCTAACTTCTGAATGCCAAAGTTTTAGTAAATCTCTCATCTTCTAGCAGGATGCCAGAGTTCCCAAAAAGCAGTCGTGTTTGGTGCAAAACTAATAGGCATTTCAGTTACTAACTGGCTAGAGTTAAAAATCTCATCAACTCAAAGTGCAGTGGATTTCTTTCTTTCTTTTTTTTTTTTTTTTTCTTTTTTGGAGAGGTTTTTGCTATAGGGTGTGTGTGCTTGCCAGAAATACAGAGACAGAGAGTGAGAAATCACCCCCCCCAGGGGTGATGGCCACACCACAATCCCTTCTCCTCCATTCTCCTCTCAGGGTCTTGGACACGCACGCACACGCGCCTGGCGTGAGTTCAAACCACCGGTTCCAGGACTCGAACTATAGTCGACTACATGGGAGTCTAGCAACACAGGCATTACGCCAACAGCTGGTCCCATTTCTATCCTTTTCTTTGGTTGAGGTACAAAGTAAAATATGTGGCTGACAATATTTTAGATTCTCTACGCGAATTACTTAATCTCTGTCAGTAGACCAATAGAGATTGACATCTGTTCTGTAGAATATAACTTTTAATAGGACAGATGATTCTTGAGGTTTACACTTTGTATTTTCTCAATGTATACTTTGTCCTTGTAGCTGTAACAACATTTATTTGGTTGACTTTTGTCAGTAGCATCCACAGTCACAGACACAGTAACTTTTTACAGCCAGATAAGACCTGTGGGATTTCTTGTCAAGAAGAAGAGTCATTTGTATCAAGTGTTATTCCATACTTGAGTGGTCTTCCCATCCAGACCCTGGGGATGATCAAAGGAGTGGTATAGACAGTTAGAGATGAGTTAAAATTCGAAGTTATGTCAAATAGATTACCATTACATGTTGCTGCTTGAGTTTCTAGGTGTACTGCATTTGTCATCCTTCTGTGTTGATGTGCTGCATTTTCTCTGCATTTTTGTTTAGTTGTTTACTTTTATTTTCATGGTAAAGTTAGAAGAAAATCCTTTGGAAATTCTTCTAGATAAAGACATACTGGCAGCTTGAAGGGCAGTGAAGTTAGGGCCCCACGTTCAGTTCCTGCTTGCCTGGCCCCGCATGACTACAGTAATCTCCTAGGATTTCAGTTTGTCCACTTACAAAATCACTGGAAGGCAGTATGTATAAACATGGCTGTTTGAGGGAGAAATTTTTGCTGTAGGACGTGTGTGCTCGCCAGAGGGACAGAGATAGAGAGACAGAAAGTGAGAAATCACTCCCCAGGGGGATGGCCATGCCACAATCCCTTCTCTCTTCTCCTCCTGGGATCTTGGGCACGCATGCACACACACCTGGGGTGAGTTTGAAGCCACCAGGTCCAGGACTTGAACCGTGGTCAGCTATATGAGAGTCTAGCGACATAACTGCTACACCATCTTCTGGTCCTGAGCAGGCTTCTTAAACTATAAATATTCTACATGAACTAGAGAAAATGAAAATGCAGTAGTTATGGGTATAATTCTGTAAAGAACGATGAAAACATAATAAAACATACTAAAGAAACTCGTGCTGTATGGTACATCATTCTTTTCTCACACAGTGCCTCATAGGAAGATTACAATGGAAAATTCAGATCTTGAGATATTCCGCTCATATTCATGTTTCATTCATCCATTATTTATAGTTTGCTTGTGTAAAGAGGTAAGTGGAGTGAAATCGACAGAAGGGAATCGTAACTGTTAATTATTTATGAAGTAGAATGACAGCTCTCTCTATTAAGCAAGCCTTCTGGGAGTGTAATTTGGAAGGAGGGGGACAGTTCTAGAGAATTTTGCAGTAGAAAGGGGTATTTCAGGTCCAGGCAAACTTGACAGAGGTCTGAAGATGAGTCAAGAGCAGTCAGGGGGCAATGGAAGAGGACTTAGGGTGGGGCAGGCAGGGTGTGGCCTGGTGACTGACAGGTGATGGCTGCAAGCAGGTCACCCCCTGAGCTGGTGATAAGGCCTTTGCTGCAGCCCAGATCCCCATAGAGGGAAGTTTTGTTACCTGTGAGGATAGGTAGGGCACAGCTGTCCCTGGGAACATGCCCTGCCCCAGCCCCTACTCTAGTACACACAATTCCCCTTCATGGTTTTTCCCTCTGGACTCCATTGTAGTCTTTTTGTAGTTGCCCAGTCTAGAAATTTGTTTTTGCTTTCTTTGTTCTTGTGTGTGAATTTTCAAAATTCTAATTATAAAGATGACTAGTCATGGGACCAGCAGTTAGCGTAATGGCTATGTTGCTGGACTCCCACGTAGTCGACTGCGGTTCAAGTCCTGGACCCGGTGGCTTAAGCTCACACCGGGCGCATGTGCGTGCATGCCCAAGATCCCAAGAGGAGAACGGAGGAGAAGGGATTGTGGCATGGCCATCCCCCCTGGGGGGTGATTTCTCGCTGTCTCTCTGTCTCTTTCTGCACATGCGCCCTATAGCAAAAACCTCTCCAAAAAGAAAAAAGAAAAAGAAAAAAAAAGATGACTAGTCATTTTTATTTATTATTCTTTTCCTTCTATCATTGCCTTTTCTGCTTTTCTTTATATAATTAAAATAATATATTTCTGAGCCAGCCAGTGGCATGGTGATTGGATCCAACAGGTGGTCTCAGACCCTGCAGCTTGAAAAACATGCCTGAGGCATTTGTGTGCGTGCCCAAAATCCAGAGAAATTAATGAAAGAGAAGGGATTGTGACACGGCCATTCCCCGGGGGGGGGGGACTTTCTCTCTCTCTATCTCTCTTGCCAGTGCACTCACCTTATACCCAAAATTGGGGAAAAAAAAAAGTAATCCTGATAGTAGAGTTATCTGTGCATTGTTACTCTTTTTTTTTTTTTTATTAAACAATGTGAAGAAGATGTAAAATAATAGAATGAGGAGAGAGGTAAAAGTTTTCTCTTCCATAAGCTACTTTGTGATGACACAAGAAGTGATATTTAATAGTAAAATACTATTAAATGTCAGAGGCTGTCACGCAGTAGCCTGTGTGAGGGTGCGCTGGGAGGTGTATAAAGTTGCTCGCAAGCGCACATGGACAGGCATGGATGCCCACATAGAGGTCGGCTGGCAGTGAGCATTCTGCAAAGGTGAAATGGAGATCCTCAATCTTGGTGACAGCCACTTGGGACTCTTAACTGATGATCTTATGAGGAAAAGTAGTGGTTGAAGTGCTGGAATACTCCCTCCATTGATAACTGCATGTCACTGGAACTGGAACTTCCCACTGCAGATGCATCATGATCCTTGAAGCCACGGGCTGGGCTTCATGGGCTTCCTTGTTCTTGTCTGGGACCAGGGGCCTGTGGTCTCGCTGATTTAGGAAGCGGATCCTTACACTGAGTTATCTTTTTTTTTTTTAATTGCCAGAGAGTCTATGTGTTCACTGGAAAGAGACAGAGAGATAGAGACACAGAGAGAGAGGGCGGGAGAAAGCACTCTCCTATGGGACGTGATCATGCCACTATCTCTTGTCTGCCATTTCTCCATCCATTGCGATTTTGGGCACATATCCACCCAACATATCCAGCATGTGTTTCAAGGTGCTAGGGCCAGGACTTGAACCATAGTTGGTCATGTGGGGTCCAGCTCCCTTTAACATAAGCTACATGGTTGGCCCTCTTAAAAAAGATTTTTTAAGATTGCTAGCAGGTGATGTGGTGCCTAAGGCACTGGACACTCCCACATGGCCGACCATGATTCGAGTCCCAGACCTGGTGGCTTGCTTTCTAGCTTTCTCTCTCTCTCTGTCTGTCTCTCTCTGGTCAAATTAAAATAAATGAATGAATGAGTAAAGTTAAATAAATAATTCTTATAAAAATTGTTGGGGGGTCAGCAGTTGGCATGCTGGTTAGGTGCTGGACTCCCACATGACTGACCACGGTTCAAGTCCTGGCCCTGGCAGCTTGCTTTCTCT